GCCAAAGCTTTTATTTTGTTTTTTCTGCTTTGTTCCAGATCTGTGGACCAGAAGGAGCTGATCAGTTTCAGAACTAGACTTTGTCCTGGTTCAGGTAGTTTTTCTTCACAGAGGCTCAGTGGGTTTATCTTTAGATTTAAAATGTCTGTTTACAGATTTAATTACATGTTTTTGCTGTTTGTTTCTGAGGGTCCAAATGACTTATTTACAACATTTTAGTTCCTCAATCAGAACACGATTGGTGTAAAATGTCTGAAAGCATTTTCCGTTAGATTTAATCAGTAAAAAAAGCAGGAAAAGCTGAGATTTCTGAGCTCTTTGAACACAACAATGGTTTTCCTTCATCAAAAGACCTGAAAACATTACTTTTCAATGAATTTTCATCATTTAAAGACATAAAAAAGTTGATTTTCAGTTATTTTCCTTCATCTAAAGACCTAAATAGCTGATTTCTCAGTGATTTTCTACAGAATTCCCCACTCAGAAGTTCCTCCATTTAAATGGATCCCACACAGTATCCTCTCCTTTCTCAGGTCACATGGGACAGCAGCCCTGCTCCCATTGGCCCGTTTGGATCAAACGTCTAAAACCATTTTCCTTCAGATTTCAAACAGTAATGTCTGATAGAGTCTGCTATGAGGCCCAGAGGTCAAAGGTCAAAGAAAAGAGAAGGATCCTGGTACAGAAGCAGAACAGGAAACCAGGAGTGTAAAATGAAGAATTTATTGATCTAATAACCTGTTTTATTCTAACACTTTGTGTGAATTAAAGGTATTTTTCTCTCCTTAATCTTGTCTGGCTGATCTTTGAAGGTCTGAGTCGGTTTTTATTTTATTTTACTTTACAATCGGCTCGTTCTTCTCCGCTGTGGGAAGGAGCCCGTTTTTTCTCAGAGCCTAAATTTAGCCGGTCGGAGATAAGAGAGAGTTTGCCTTCAGTCTCAAAACGGGCAAATCCCACCGACCGAACGCGTTAAAGATGGAATATCTTCATCACCGACCAATCAGGAGCCAGCAGGAAACGGCCAAAGCTCCACTGGGGTTCAGAAGGGTTCAGGGCTCTAGAAGCTGAGTGGAGGTTTTTAGGACTAAAGAACTTTATTTGGTAATAAAGTATTAGTTAAAAAAAGAAGAAGAAGTCCTTAGGATGAGAAGAGAAAGATCTACAGTGGGGGAAATAAGTATTTGACCCCTTGCTGATTTTGCAGGTTTGCCCACTTACAAAGAATGCAACGATCTATAACTTTAATCATATGTACATTCTAACAGTGAGAGACAGAATCCCAAAGAAAATTCCAGAAAATCACATCATATGAATTTATAAAAATTGATAACCATGTGATGAGGAAAAATAAGCATTCTTTGTAAGTGGCCAAAAAGAAAGAGAAGGAGAAGAAGATGAATTGTTTTTTTTTTTATTCTTTAAGGAAAAGAAAAAAAGAAGAAGAAGAATCAGAAATACTTTAATACTCCCAGAGGGAAATTATTTTTGTTACTAACTCCATAAATAAAACAACGGCATATACATATATAAATGTCCATACATATTTACATATATATATACAAAATTCCACACAGAATATAAATAAAAAGAGGAGGGAGAAAGAAGAAGAAGAAAAAGAAGATTTTTTTAAAATCATTTAAAAAGAATAATAATAATAATAAGAAGAAGAATATATATTTTTAATCTTTTAAAAAGAAGAAGAAAAAGAAGATTTTTTTTAATCATTTAAAAAGAATAATAATAATAAGAAGAAGAAGAAGAAGAATATATCTTTTTAATCCTTTAAAAAGAAGAAGAAAAAAATGAAGTCCAGCTGCCTTCTCTCAGTCTGAGACTCCACTCTGTTTTTGAGGGCAATCAAAAGAAATATCTTGTTGTTTCTTGTTCTAATTTTTAGAAAAGGTTCATGTTTAGGCCACAGTTCAAGTTGACATGAAGTACAACGCTCCAAAACGACTCTTTATTACATTAAAATAAGCTCCAGCTGCCTCAACTCCCGCTCTCATCCTTGAATCCATCAGTTTTAATGTATTTCATTAAAACTGAGATGTTTACATGTATTTTAAAAGTATGGATTTAGATCTGGAAGACATCATTTCTGTGTGAAGTGTCTTTAAAACCAACGAGGGGCCGTAAAAAAAAACCCCAGCTGGACTTCTGTTCAGCAGCCTGTCTCCTGTTGGGGCCCGAAATCTGAAAGCTTTTTTATTTATTTAGACAAGAAGGAATTAGATTTAAATGTTTTCATCACGCATTCTTTCCCTTCTCAAAAACCCTCAAAGAATAGAGTGCAGGTCACGGAAAAGTCACCGTGGAGGCCGAGGGTGCCGCGTCTTTTTTAAATTTTTATTTTTATTTTTTTTATTGAACTTTTTTGCAAAGCAGGAAAACATCAAATATTAAACACTCTACATACATATGAGAGGGATGTACACATATATAAGAATAATAATAAAAAAATATATATATGTTTAAAATAATAATAATAATAATAAAAAATAAAAAATAAAATAATAATAATAATAATAAAATAAAATAATAATAATAAATAAATCAAAAATATATACATATAAATAAATATGTACAAGAAAATAATAAAAAATAAATAACGGGTGCCCAAAAGTAGAAAAAACAAACATAATACTACAAATTGTTCTCTTGTTGCCAGGCTAAATTTAATAAACCCAGTTTCAATTTCTGAGCTGCAGACGCATCCAAATAGTCCAAAAAAAGGGTCCCATGTCCGGTGAAAAAGAAATGGTTTGTCTTTATAAGGCCTCCATTGGAATAATACTTATTACAGTCTGTGTCCACTGGTTTATGGATGGAACTCTATCAGAAATCCACAACACCAATAATACACTTTCGAGCGCAGTGTAAGAATATATGTAAAAGATCTTTGTTACGAAAGTTATCTGGCAGCTCATCATTCAGACCCAATAGACACGTTCTTGCACCCAATTGCAGTTGGAACCTACAGGACTGTCTCAGAAAATTAGAATATTGTGATAAAGTTCTTTTCTGTAATGCAATTAAAAAACATGAAATGTCATACATTCTGGATTCATTACAAATCAACTGAAATATCGCAATCCCTTTATTGTTTTAATATCGCTGATTATGGCTTACAGCTTAAGAAACCCAAATATCCTATCTCAAAATATTAGAATATCTGAGTTTTCTTCAGCTATATATAACCGGGCCGTAGAACCAGACCCGGGCTGTTGAACTGGAACCGGGCCGTAGAACCAGAACCGGGCCGTAGAACCAGACCCGGGCCGTAGAACCAGAACCAGGCCGTTGAACCAGAACCTGGTCGTTCAGTCCAGTCAGCTCAGATGGTTCTGGTCCAGTCGGTTCAGAGGGTTCTGGTCCAGTCTGGAAGCCCAGAACCGGGTCGTAGAACCCCAGAACCAGAACCAGACTCTAGAACCAGAACCGGGCCGTTGGCTCTGGGGTCTCTGTTTCGGTCCTGGACCCGGGGGCCCGGCTGAAGAGGCCCATTGTGGGACTAAGCAGAACCAGATGCTGCCCGGGGCCCGGTGGGCCCGGTGGAACCGACCCGACCCGCTAAAGAACCGCTTTAATGGCCGCCGCGGCCCCCGGAGGCTCGTGTTCGACTTTATTCCTCCGTTTTCCGCCTCATTCGTCCCTAAACGGCTCAAACCTCCAGAAATCTGAAACTCTGACAGTTTACAGTCACAGTAAAGTTTCTGCTAAACGTTTTTTTATGTGATTCTGCTGCTTTGATGAACAAGTCAGCTTCTTAGACTTAGTGTTTACATCCTCCAAAGAGAGGAAATGGGTCCTTTAGCTTTAGCCTGTCAGACTTCGGAATTCCAAAAAGCGTAAAACAATTAAACAAAATCCACTTAAAGCTCGTTTATACGGGCAAAACTGGATTTAAAGGTTCTTCAGAGGCTGATGACAAAGAAGAAATGATCTTTTTCAGCCCAGATTTTCAAGACAAGCTGAAGTTTAAAGCAATACAGCTAAGCTAGGCTAAGCTAATTAGCTCTTGGCATGATTTTTCTCCAATTTTTAAAGATTTCTCTTAATTTTCAATGTGATTCTGCTGCTTTGATAAACACCACATATAAAAAAGTCATCTTTTTAGACTGTTTACAGGAGTCCTTCAAAGAGAGGAAATGGGTCCTTTAGCTTTAGCCTTTAGCCTTTAGCTTGAGCCTGTCAGACTTCAGGAGTCCAAATAGCGTAACAGAATTAAACAAAATCCTCATAAAACTCATTTGTATAGTCAATATGACTGGATTTAAAGCTTCTTTGCAGGCTAATGACAAAGAAGAAATAATCTTTTTCAGCCCAGATTTTCAGCACACACTGAAGTTTAAAGCAATTCAGCTACGTTAGGCTAAGCTAATTAGCTCGTAGCAGCATTCTTCTCATATCTATCAATTTCTCTCAAGTTTTGATGTAATTCTGCTGACATGATAAACACTCGATAACACAAAGTCAGCTTTTTAGACTTAATGTTTACAGGAATCCTACAAATAGAGGAAATGGGTCCTTTAGCATTAGCCTTTAGCCTTTAGCTTTAGCCTGTCAGGGTTCAGGTGCTCTGACCTTTGCTAACTGTCTCTAGCTCTTAGCATGGTTTTTCTCCCAAAAAATGTCTCTTAATTTTCTATGTGATTCTGCTGCTTCGATACACCCAATAACACAAAGTCAGCTTTTTATACTTAATCTTTACAGGAATCATTCAAAGCGAGGAAATGGGTTCTTTAGCTTTAG